ATTCTGTGGTGAATTGTCCCATTCCGTTCTATCTTTGCTTATTAAATTATTTTTTATAAGTTAATAAGCAAGGATAGAGCAAAGATAGATTTTTTATAACTTTCTTTTTTAACAATTTGATATTGGTTGGTGGACATAAATTCTCACTTTTGTAGTGTTTGGTCTATTTTTTCATTATAGAACTGCAACCTGAGACCAAAATGTGAACTGGTAACTCATACTTATGACGGTTGCAGTGTCCTGGGGTCATGTGAGCTTGCTTTTGTGACCTTCTGAAGCCAGATTCACTTAACAACTGTGGCAAGAAAGGTTGTAAAATGGGGCAAAATTCACTGATCTCATTTAACAATTAGGCTCAGTTAAGGTCATACTACCTGTATGGTATAGCTAAAATGACACCATTAACAAGACTGGAGGAACTACTAAGATCAGTAACCATGCAAAATAAGTTTGGTGAGGGAAAAAAAAGTGGAAGGGTGGATTCTCAAAAACCACTCCGGCTAGAAGTGTCTTTGATTGCACAATGCACATATCTACAATTCACTTAAGCTGATTTTCTGAATTTTCACAAGAGTGAACTATGAAATAATCAGGGAGGCTGACTTTGTACATCACACAAAACTAAAACAAGAAAGTCTAATTTGGGGTCAGCATCTCATGCAGCTAAGCAAGCCATGCTCTCTATGTTGTATAAACCAGGATAATAGTTAAAAAGAAAAAAGAAAGACAAAGGGATGAATTGAAAGGTGCTCATGAGACAAACTGCTGTGTTGTGGGAAACTGTTGGGGGAAAAACCACCATCTTGCAGTGTTGATAGAAAATCTCCCTGGGAGGATTGCCCTCCCCCACACTCCTTAGAAGGTACGGGTTAGAAAAACTTTTGCAAGACCTGTTATGTTCTGCCTTTTTTCAAAATGGTGGTACATTCTAATTCATGGCTGAGAGAGCACTTGGAATTGAGGGAAAAAAAGCAATTAAAATGAGTTGTATTTTTTTCCATACAGTAAAAAGGAAAGTATTAAATGTTAGGGCATTTGGTTCAGATGGAAAGATGATGGAGGAGAAGGGTGGGCGAAAGGAATTTCCTGATACTCTTTCGCATAGAGGATCCTTCCTCGTAGAGGGAGGAAGGAAAGAAGGAAAGGGGAAAGGGATAGGGAGGAAAGGAAGGAATCAAAGGGAAGAGGGAAGGGAAAGGGAAAGGAAAGGAAAGGAAAGGAGGAAGGGAGGAAAGGAAGGAATCAAAGAGAAGAGGGAAGGGAAGGGAAGGGAAAGGGAAAGGGGAAAGGAAAGGAAAGGAGGAAGGGAGGAAAGGAAGGAATCAAAGAGAAGAGGGAAGGGAAGGGAAGGGAAAGGGAAAGGGAAACGACTATCATGGTTTGGGTTTAATGTGCTAATCACTAGTTCAGGAATCCATCCAATGTGACTTGACCAGCATCAGGAAACCATACTTAAACAAGCCAAAGCTTATCAGGGAGAAGAAGCTAATTGCGAAGTGTGAATCTCTCTCCGCAGAACCGTCCCGAGAAGTTGAGCCGCGCGACCGCAAGCGCTGCACCGGAGGAGCGGGGGTGGGTGTGTGTGTGAGGGGGGGGGGGGAGGCGGTCCCCCCCCCCCGCCCGGGGTTCCCCCCCCCCCCCTCCCCCCCCCGCCCCCCCCCCCCCCCCTGTCCACCGGGCGCCAGCAGAGATGCCCGGCGTGCCAGGAGGCGTCACAGGCTGGGAGGAGCCGAGTCCACAGCGCTCCGGTAATCCTATAAATAAGCGGGTCTGGTGGCCGGGCAGGGGAAAAGCCGGGCACCGGAGCGCTGCAGGAAAACCTTCGGGGGCAGGGGCGCCGCTCGCTCGCCATCCGAGTCACCCAAAGGGCAGCTTCCAGGATCGCCGCCGGAGCCTCCAAGCCAGCTCGCCCCGTGTGGGAGGAAAGGAGGTAGGAAAGGGCAACTTGCCGGGGTCAGAGTGGGCGCGCTTCTCTCTTTGCGCTCGTGGGTCGCCGCGGATAGGTAAGAGCCGCTGGCATTCCCACCCGCTGGACATCGCCACCAGGGGGCGCCGTTGCCGCTGGATTCCACGCATCGGCTCTTTTTTTTTTTTTTTTTCCTCCCGGCGCTCGGAGAGGCGGCTGAACTCCGGAGCAAAGCAACCCCGTTATAGCGCGCTTACTCCGAAGCCAGCAAACCCTCCCCACGCTCCCCGGCAAAGGCAGAGAGGGAGGAGTGGAGGGTTTGCGCGAGCGCGCCTCTTCCGAGCAAAGGCGGCGAGTCCTGCCCCGGGGAGCTCCAAAGCCCCGGGGCCAAAAGCTAAGGGGCCAGGAGTTGAGAAGCGGCGGCGGCGGCGGAGGCTGCTGCCGGGCCAGGTAAGCAAAACGCCGCCGCGCCTTTTAAGAAGGAGCGGAGAAGAAAAGAAGCCCGAAGACATGGAGAAGAAGCGCTTGCGCGGGGCAGGTGTGATGGCTCAGCTGGCTTCGGAAAGCGGCCGCACGAGGTTCCCAGCTGGCCCGCCAGAAGCTCCTTTCTCTCCGCGCCTCTCGCCGGACTTGCGGAGCGTCTCCAGGTGAGCAGTTGACCCGGCTCCCAAGCCCTCCTTTGCCCGCTAAGCCAGCCTGCCTGCCTGCCTCTTCTCTCTCTCTCTCACCCGCAGCTGCCACCATCCCACCATGCGGACCAAACTTGGTTCCGGGGCAACCGGGACACAACAGCAGCCTCCCCACTTCCCCGCCGTGGTGGGTCCGAGAGCATCCACTGTGCTCGGGAGACTGGACGCCTTTCAGTCGTCACTCAAACTAGCCGGTAAGCTCAGCAGCTGTGCGAAGCTCCAGCCTATTCCTAGCGCTCTCTCTCTCTCTCTCTCTCTGTGTGTGTGTGTGTGTGTGTGCGTGTGCGTGCGAAGGTTAAAGTGGTCCAGCCGAGCTCCTGGGAGGGTTTTGCAGGCAGCAGTTCGAAAAAGGGGAGGTTGCTTTTTCCTCTCACTGCCCTTTTCCCAGTCGGGCTTATGTATCTGGGATTTCCTTGTGGTCTCCTCTCCATCTTCTCTCTTAAGGAGTACTCCCACCTGCTGCTTGGCCACTGAATCTCACAAGAAGTTGGACCTGGGAGGCTAACTTGGGAGGAATCCCCAAAGCAGATGACCATTAAAAGAAGAGGGGGTCATTTCCCAACAGGTTCTTCTTCCTTAGCAGTTCTCCCCAGTTCCAGCCTGGCTGATTCATTGACTTTCAAAGCGGTGCTTTAGGAATAAATAAACCAACATGTGGTTCAACTCCGTGCACGTGTGTCGGGACTTGGCAGAAGGAGATGCTGAGGTTGTGGAATTTGTGCCCAGACACGTGCCACTTTGGACCGCAGCCATTTGTTTGGACACCCGGGAAATCGAGTTTTACCTTCCCACCCACTTAAGATTCTCTAGTAACCCCCTGATTGACATGGAAGAGGAGAGAGGGGTTTAAATGCCTAATCTAAGCTCCCCTGGAAAATTGCTAGGGGTGGTTGCAAGAACCAGAGTGTAGCACTTTCTGAGATCCAGAAGTTGGAATTTGGAAAGAGCCTCTGTGCATATTTACTTGATTGCTTATATTCTCTAAAGTTTCTAACTTCAGCTTGTTTGCATTTGATATTTAAAACTCATCCTAACTCTCAGCCTTTTAAGCAGGGCTGCTTGATGTTTTTAATGTGGATGCAAAGCCCAGGCTGGTTTTGCACGCAATACTGGGGCAAACCCATTTTTAAATCTGGGCCGTGGTTCAGATGCCATTGCTCTTGTGAGTGTCACATTATAAACCAGGAACAAATGCAGATTGCTTTGAACTAAGCCTCCTGTTCAATCTTGTCCAGTTGAAGCTTTCCTACTCTAAAGTTTTCACATAAGAGCAAAAGGGGCTTTTCCAACCACAAGTGGTTGTGAGCTTAACTCTTCACCTCTGGCTGGAAAGCATGTTTTCTGCATTATGATTTTAGTGTGCTGTACAAATTAGCCACAAAGATTTGTCAAGCAAGGAGAAAGAAATACTCTTGCCACAATTTATTCCTTGATGGTAACTTCTAGGCAACCCTGGCTAAGCAGCAAATCTTGATCTGGTTGTGAACGGGAGATCACTAAGAATCTGAGGTGGTATTCAGCAGGTTCTGACCAGTTTTGGAGAACCGGTAGCGGAAATTTTGAGTAGTTCGGAGAACCAGCAAATACCACCTCTGACTGGCCCCGCCCCCTTCCATTCCTGAGTCCCAGCTGATTGGCTGGGTCTTCTTTGGTTGCCCTGCACAGGAGAATGGAGCTGGAAAGCAGGTTAGTGGGGTGGGGAGGGAAGGGGGATTTTGCAGTATCTTTCCCCTGCCACGCCTACCACACCGTGCCCACCAAGCCACACCATGCCCACCACACCACACCCACAGAACCGGTAGTAAAAAAAAATGAATCCCACTACTGCTAATAATCCTTAGCGCTTTAGGCTAGCCTAGAAAATGGAAGAAGAAACAGAAATAGCAACAAATCTCTTTTATAGTGTTGCCAAGACAATTGCCGGGAGGTGTTTATAAAATCACCGGGAATTGAACGTGATTTGTCTTCATATGATCTAACTGGATTATTTTTGTTTATATCACCACATAGTAATTCCTTTAGGAATGTAGGAGTCTTTGTGCCAAGTCAGCATTAATCTTGTATTGCAGATGGGGAAGCTGAAAGTGCAAATGAATGACTTGGTTATTATGACACTCTGGTAAATGTGCAACAGTAGCAGCAGCAACAACATTCAAACTGGGGCATTCTGAGTTGCAGCCTGGTGCTTTGTCCCAGCTTTCTCCAATCCTGATAACTTCCTCCAGATGTGTGCCTTCAACTTCCAGAACTTTCAGCTAAGTTGGCTGGGGAATTCTGGGAGATGGCCCACTCACCTGGAGTGCTCCAAACTTGGGTTTGACTGCCTTGTACTATATCTATCCAGGGGGACAAAATATGATATTTTGGCTTCCCTTCTAGGGATTGTGATCTTTGCAGTTGATCTGAAGAGCCTCTCATTCTTCAAGTACTCTTGAAAGATGGTGGAACTCTTTGCATGTAGATTCTGGGCCTGGTCCACATTCTATCATTTGTCTCTACAGGAAAGTATTGAAGGAGCTGTTGTGAAAAGCTGTGGCAAAATGTTCCTGAGTGCGGCCAAGAAACCATACTGGAAGTGCGTGGCAAAAGGGCTTCTGGCTGGACCCATGGGGAGTCCAGTTTGACTGTCGCAACTCTAAAAGGTTTTGGAAGAGCTGTGGCCTTGATATTTGGATTCTTGGTGCCGCATCTGCTCAGATGATGCTTGCAGAGCATTTTGACAACTCAGCTTCTTGTAGATGAAAGTGGAAAGCTCTGGAGATTTCATGCCATGTAGCACCTGTGGCAGTTAAGAGATTTTTCAGCCAAGAGTGTAACCTTGGAGACAAGACTTCTTCTCAAGATCTTTCTGTGTAGCAAATTCATCCTGCATCTGAAGTAAGGTAAGTTTTAGAAAGATCATTTTTATGCATGCCTTTCTTGAATTGTGTAGGTTGCTTAAATCAAAAATAGTCTTACTAGTTTTTAAGCATAAGCATGGGGGTCAAACTACTCACTACTTTAAGGCTAAGTAATTTTAACTTCATCTACTGTATTGTGCAATTTTAGCCTTAGCTTTAGCCTCTCTGAATGTGGATTTGTTCTTGAAATGTTGTGTGTAAATGTGTTATTGGTTTTTTTTTTTTGACTACGAATAAGGCTGGATGTGTAAATTTTAGAACATGGATTGTTTATCTGTGTTGGAATTGTGCTAATTCTGTTTCTGAAATTGTTTCTGTCCAATTTTCACAAGAGCTGTGTAAAGCTTTGACTCAGAGTCAGTTTGGAAGTATTTCAGTTAAATCAACCTGTCAAATAAAATTATGGATTTAGTGTGTCAAAGTGAACAGAATGCTTTTGAATCAAAATACATTTCTATTCTGGATTTGATCAAATCAATTTGGTTTGGATCATAAATCTGACCTGAATTATAAATGCAAATCAGTTTTGATGGATGAAATCACTGTGATGATTTGTATTGGATCAAAGCTGATTAGCACACCCTAGTTTTACTCTTGGTTTTTTTATTATTGAACAGCCTTTTAGTTTAATTTTGCTTTCCTTTGGATAATCTGGTCCAGCTCTTTTCCCCGACAGCTCTAAAAAGCCTGCTTTTGAAAAGCTTGAGAGGAAAATATCTCAAACTATACTGTTGTTTTTGGAGTTTGATCTAGTAGGTCACAAATGGCTAGATTCACATGGTATGCTGAGCTTCTAAAACCATGGTTTACAGACCTTAATAGCTGAGATTCACGCATCACACTAAGCCAACTGACAAACTGCATAGTGGCTTACTACAATAAATCAGTTCATTCCCCTTTGATTTTTGCTGGCTGCAAAACAACTGCTTGGTAGAATCTCTGGTTCTTGAGAGCCATGCTGATTCGATCCAAGGGATGCTTTATTTTTTTCACAGTGATTGACCAAATGTCTTTGACTGACTCACAAGCCAAGTGTGGCTGTGAGAGTAGGCACCTGCTTATTGTTCCTTAGCAACAAGTATATCCAGCTTTGGATCCCACGGGTCACATGTAGTTGTTATGACAATTGCACTATAGATAACTTTATCCTCTGTGGGCTTCTGTACTTGTCAGCTTCAAGTCTGTGTAGATGCAACTTATATATCTTCAGTTAAATCATTACCCTGCATTCATTTATTAACAATTTTAGGATTGCCAAGACACCTTGACAATTAAACTGGATCTCTTCTCTGCCTTGTTTTAGTGGTAGCAAATAACTTAAGAGTCAGATAAAGAATTAAAAGTTCCTGCCCAAAAGGGGGATTTACAATCTAGAAAGAGAGATAGAGGGAAAAGTGGAGAGTGATTAAGGAAAGACCTGGAGACCAGTTTTATTTTGGGCCAGAGAATGAATCGGTTGTGTCAGATAACAACTCCTTTTACTCAGTCTCTACCCAGCATCATGGGAGTTGTAGTCCAGAGTATTTGGAAAGCACCAAATTAGGAAAAAGTTCTTCTCAGGATATCCAGATCTAAAGGCTTTACAGTAATGTCACTCAGCACCTTCTGTGTTCAGAGTTTGTGGGTGTTACAGCAAATTCTTTGACTAGGGCAGAGTCTTGAAAAACTGTAGCTCCACCATGGACAGCTCCTGGGCCCTTTCTTAACCGTTGCATTGCTGACAGCAAATCCCATATTTGCATTGCACTTGGTGTCCTGTTCATGCAACGATTCCTCTTGTTCTTGCAGACATAGGGGCAGCGAGGCTCTCATTTTCACTCTACTTCTCACATCTGCTAGTAAGGTGCGAATGAAATGGTCCCTTCACAAGCCCAGGACTTTAGTATTCAGCCTTGGTGATTCTATACTGAGCTGCCTCCATCTCACTGTTCCATTTTCATCCATTTCTTCCCACTTGGGAGAGGGAATTGAAGTGAAAGTTGGAAGTGAAAGTTGGAAAGATGGTTTTTGTCATTGTACAACTGGCAAAACCATTGCTTAGATCCAGGCTGGGTTTATTTGTTGTTGTGAAGTTGCCTGTTGCATCTCCTCTTTTAAGAGTTACTTTCTCTGACTTCTTTTTTTGCAAGATCGGGGGGGGGGGGGATAGTCCATAAGAGTTCCAATCATTAGTAAATGTAGTTATTGATCTTTCTCTAATCAAACCGACCCTATGTTTAAAGGGCATGAGATCAAGGCAGTTCTTAACAATAGCTGTCCAATCTTTACTTGAAGTCCCCTAGATAGAAGAAATCTGGGTCATAGTAGCGGAGGCTCCTGACCCTTTTTCTCTGGCTCATAGTAGCGGAGGCTGCTGATTTAGGATATAAGAGTGTGTGTTTTGTCATCTCTAAGCCTTTGATTTCTCAGATATGAGATCTTCACGGCCTTGCCACATTTGCCAAGACAGGCTATGTCAGGGAACCAAGCAAAATGGCTTTCCTGGAAATTCAAAACGGCATATTGAGAGAAGCTGAATGCTACTGCTGGCACATTAAAAAAAGGGCAGTGTGTTATGTGAAATGCTGAATATGAAGCTGTAAAGAATTTTACACATCTATTTTGTATACATACACAAACCACTGTGGTGCTATCATTGCTCAGTCTTCACAGTTTAGAAACTAGCTGCAACCCCAAAACCTCTCAAGGGCACTCAATTGTGGGAATGGTATCCTATATATTGTTACTCATGTATCTTTGCATTCCCTTGAGATTAAGGCAGGATTTTGAGGATGAAAGTCATGTATATATAATTGTCAATTTCTGGGAACTAGCTAACTTTGAAGCGAAAGATTATTTGGTAGCTCATCATTAAAATTAACATGGTATTAAGCTGAAGGTTTGACTATATAAGCTATATAAGAAAAGAACTTCAGTGGTGCAGTGGTTAGAATGGAGTATTTCAGGCAAATTCTGCCCACTGCCATGAGTTTGATTCTGACCAGCTCAAGGTTGACTCAGCCTTACGCCTTCCGAGGTCAGTAAAATGAGGACTCAGATTGTTGAGTCAGGAAATATGCTGACTCTGTAAATCATTTAGAGAGGGCTGTAAAGCACTATGGAGCGGTATATAACTAAATGCTGTTGCTATAAACCAGGGGTCCCCAAACTTGGCAACTTTAAGACTTGTGGACTTCAACTCCGTTGAAGTCCACAAGTTTTAAAGTTGCCAATTTTGGAGACCTCTGCTATAAGCTCTGAGATCTTTTCCAATTCTGTAATTCTTGAATGATCATACCTTTTTTTTCTGTTTCATCTGTTAACTGTTAAATCTGCAGCTACCAATTCCTAATTTATCTCTATATGTTGAACAATTTACATCTATATACCAAAGGAACAAAATACCTGAAGTGGTTGAATCATTGAGAAATGCAATAAATGAAATCACATTATTATTTATCTGCATATTTGTAAAAAGTTTCTAAATCACTGTTCCACCTGCCTAAAACCAAGCAAATGGTTACACATCTGACATCCAGCCTTGTCTTATTATTGGTGTCTGAATCTCATGGATATTGTTTGTCACATCTTAGTCTTACTCCAGACAGTCCTGGGTTGTTCTGAAGCTCCTCGGAAGGGAGATAGTTTTCACTACAGAAGATGCACTGCCCTCCCCAGGGAAGGTATAACATGGTTGAGAACAGCAGCAAAAGTCTGAAAACATGTGAAGAAATTCGCTTCGGAGTCCGTGCTTCTGGTGGCTGGAACAAAGGGGTTTCTTTCTGCTCTCATATCAAGGTAAATTATTCAGCTTTGTCTTTTATTTCTCTAAATCAAGAGAAATAGTCAAGAGACCTCCGGAGACAAGGTGTCTCCCAGTTTACATATTGTACGATATCCTTCCTCACCCAAAACGGGGTTGATGGAAGTTAAAATTCAAGATACTTGGAAGGCAGATTAGACAAAGCAATGCTGAGCCTTATCTCCCTATTAATGTGATAACATTCAACACTCTCTGATATTTTTATCAAGTATTTAACTTTCTTTAAAAATAACAAGTAACTTCTTTTTTGATAAAGTCAGGGCAGTCTCATTTTAGCTCTCACTAGCTAATATTTGGCTTAAGAATTGTTCTTGTAAGAATTAGAGCTAGTCTTTGGGTCTCTTCCTTTCGCAGATTAAAGTGAAGAATTGTTTGATCTCTTGCAGGTCAGGGTCTGCAATAGATAAGTGGCTATGTTGGCTTAGAAGCTGACTTCAGCTTTAACAGTTAAATCAGTTTTCTTGTTCAGTTATACCTTTCAGTTCAGTTCTGTTAAATGGACTGAACAGAGTTGGGAGAGAGGGTATTAGAAGTGTAAAACCAGACCTGTTTAAACTTGCTGTCCAAATTTCCCCAAAACCCTTCCACAAGAAGGAAAAAATATACATCCCTCTAGCTCAATGTTTAGCAATCTCAGGAACTTTAAGTTGTACGAACTTCAACTCCCAGGATTCTCCAAGTTGAAGTCCATATAAATGAGGTTGAGAAACACTGCCCAGCTGTTATCAGATTCCAACAGTACCCTTTGGCATGACCACTAATCAAATGAAATTGGCATAGTTGCCTATTTCCTATTTCTGTCTTCTGAGCACCATTTGCTGCTCAGGCTCAGTAAACCTCCTTTGGAGAACCAGATCTGCTTCTTTCCTTGCATGGCACCCCTTTTTCTGTTCTGGATTTCCAGTCCAGACTTCTTAAGTTTCTACAAAGCCTGGATTAGCTTTACCATTATGTGCACCAAAACAGTTTCCTGAGACAAAATAGTTTTGAGGCTCATGAGAAGAAGCTGATTAATTTACTGTAATCGTTTTATTGCTGGAAGATTAGGAAAGCTTCTGATGAGTTTTTTTTTTCCAGAAGTGGTGAACCATTGTTGAGTTTTGAACCTAGACAGAGGGCGTTTTGAGGACATAACTCATAGTAGCTTCTGGTTCCTGATCAAAACTGACAGTGTCTCACATCTGGTCCCTAATATTTGGACCCAAAATTCCCAATGAGCCCACCAGCCCAGAAAACATTTTGTCTGGCAGTAGCTTCTAAAGTACTTGGGTACCTCAGCCTTTTATCCTGTGGTGGTCTTATTTCTTCTTTAGACAAAAGTTGTGCCTTCTGTCTGAATTTCTTCCTTTCATTCTCTTGACAAAAAGAAGTAGGCATGTTAAGGGTGTAAGTGCCACTGTTTAAAAGAGGTGCTTAACTGAAATGGAATTTGAAATAATGACTTTAAAGAAAGATGAGCAGTTATAGTGTTTATAGATTGTCTTCCTTCTCCCCCTGCCCCTTCTCCACTCCTCCACCACTTCAGGTGTCAAGGAAGATAAAGAATTCTGCTTCTGGTTCTTCTGGATTATGGATTAATGTTTTAAAATAAAATTAACGTTTTCCTGCCCTGTCCAACTTTTCCCAGGAATACCCATTATGGGTTTGAAGCATTGAAATGAATCATTCTGGATCTGATGGATGAAGTGACCAGTTGGTGAAATCACTGTTGCCAGCACTATCTACTCCATGTTTTCCAGCTGAAAGACAAGTTCATACTGCTATCCTGCCCTAAAAGCTGGAGCAGCCAAGTGAAAATTGATGGTATGGATTTTCCCCCCTCTTTTTCTTTAAAAAAAAATCCTTTACCCTCTTCTTTGGAGAATGAGACAACATATACCACGGAGTTTCTTCAACTCTTTTATTTTAGGAAGTTCACTCCTTTTGCCAGACAGAGAAATGATTTTACTAGTGGTAACACAGAAAGCTTTATTTGACATTTGATTCCTTTCCACTTTCTTGAAAATCATGGAAAACATTGGTTGTTGCATGGTCAAGTCTTCTAGTGAACAATTACTGTTTATTTTCTAAGGACTGGCAACTGACTTCTCATTTTCGTCCATTGTGCCTTCTGGCACTGACCGATCTCCCTGAGGCTTTGTCCAAATAATCTTTTCAAGGAGTAGGGTTCTAGCATTGACAATTAAATGGAGCTGATTGAAGATCTCTTATTTTCCATCTGAACCTATTTTTTTTCCTTCTGGAAGAGAAATTGATTGAAGAAGCAAGAGGAAAAAGTGGGAGAGATAAAGAGAGCATAGAGTATCATCAAGGCAGTTTCTTAAATACTTTAAATAAGGCAATGACTTCTCATCCAGAAATATCCATAGCAGACATGGGGAAGATAATAATTAGATCTGTGGCTTGTTTTGAATTGTATTAGTTAATAAATAACAGGGGATGGTGTTTTTTTTAAAGTAAGGAAGCCCACTTTATCTTTCTATGGAGGGAGATAGTAGATGGCATAGACATGAAAGCAGAGGTTGAACTTTTGACATGAAATATACCAGTACTTATTCAAGGAGAAATAGAAGATTCCTACTATGGGTTGAATTGCTGCCAATTTTTCAGATTCAGTACATTTTGGAGGGCAGATGAAAGTGAGGACATGTCCAGATATGGCTTGTGGTTTCTTACCCCCTTCTTTGTTACAAAATCTTTCTAGGGAGTAATTGTTTAAGTTTTTACCTAAATGCCCAGGGATGTGATGGGTCCTGGGTTTGTTTCATCCATTCATTCACTGTACATACTGTTTCAGTTACAGCATTAATTCTAGACAAGCCCACACATTAGGATTAAAAACCAACAAAATAATAACAATATAGTCCCCAGATCTTTGCCTATAATTTTAAGCCTACATACTTTATTTCAGGAAGAAATCCATTTACTTCCTAATTAAAAGGGTTGATTGTAGGCTGCCCACTCCTGATTTGGGAGAATGATACCCCATCAACATAGATAGGATCCAGCCAGTTGGATCAAAAGTCTGATTTGGTATATGCAGTTTATTCATGATGAAGTGCTAAGTTTATGCTGTTGATGTAACCTCTAGTGCAGGGGTTAGCAACTTTTTGATAACTCTGCACCCCTAGAATGCTGCTGATATATTCTTGCATGCCTTAAAATAATTATATGCATATAATTAAACATATGCACTATAATTTTGAAAATTCTAAACCCAAGTTTTTGCACCCTCTGGAATATTATCTCACACCCCCGGTTGGGAACCTCTGCTCTAGTGGAATTCCTGTGGTTGCAGATAAGTTGTAAGTCCTTATAGGACCAAGTTGTGCTTTGGGAGGTAGTGGTTTTATTTATTAAATTATTCAAAGTATAAGCTCTTTCCTCTCTCATAACATCTCCTTTCTCTAGTAAGGGCTACCAAAGGGAGATAAAGATTTAAAAAACCCAAGAGCTTCTGAAATCTTTAGGCTTTATGTTGTGGGATTGAACAAAAGAGAAAAAGGTGTGCGTGTGAATGGCCACGCACATAGAGGTGCCCTTCTTTTTGGCTTGTAGGTAGAACTGTGTTCTTGGATCTGATTGCAATGGATAAAAGCCTGGGATCATGGAAGGATTCCATCTGTTGGTACAAATAGAAGTTTCAATTTTAATGAAAGAATTTTGCACAGGCACATGTCTTTCAGCTTTAATCCTGTTAACAACAACCTGTTAACCAACTTTGCTCTTTTAATTCCTGCTTATTTAGTAGAGGTAGTTCTCCATTTACGATCACAACTGAGCCCCAAACTTATGTTGCTAAGTGAGAAAGTTGTTAAGTGAGTTTTGCCCCATTTTACGACTTTTCTTGCCACATTTGTTAAGTCAATATACAACTTCACAGTGCTTTACAGCCCTCTCTAAGCGGTTTTACAGATTCAGCCTCTTGCCCCCAACCATCTGGGTCCTCATTTTACCCACCTCAGAAGGATGGAAGGCTGAGTCAACCTTGAGCCTGGTGAGATTCGAACTGCCAAATTGCAGGTAGCCAGCCAGCAGAAGTAGCCTGCAGTACTGCACTCTAACCACTGCACCACCGTGGCTCTTCAGTTGTTAAATTGGCAACACTTAAGTGAATCTGGCTTCCCTTATTGACTTTGCTTGTCAGAAGGTCGCAAAAGGGGATCCCATGACCCCAGGACAATCTAATCGTCATTGATGTGAGTAAATTGTCAAGCATCCAAATGTAAATCGTGTGACCTCGGGGATGCTTGCAAGGGTCATAAGTGACTTTTTTTCAGTGGCGGTGTAACTTTGAACGGTCACTAAGCAAAACTGTTGTAAGTCAAGGATTGCCTGTACTGATAGATGGGACACCTTAATTTACAGGGCCCTACTTTAATGTGTATTTTGTTTTAATTAAATGTAAAGTTTAGAAACAAGTGATGTTGTTTAATGAAAAAGCCAAAAAAAAAAAAAAAAAGCCAAAGGCCAAGGACTTTATCCAACCCTATCAATTTTATTTTAGCATGCATTGTGTCCTTGACAGCTTTCCAAGCACCTAAATCATCATATTAGTTTAAACTTTGCCTCAATATGGATTTTCCCCCCACCTCAATCCCAAAACGATGGCCTAGCATCATGGCTTCCAATCCAGTTAAACTTATACAAAGTCGTACTGATTTATGGACCTAAGGAACGTGGTAGTATATATGAAAATTATGTTGCATTCCACTGAGCAGGAAAGATAACAGATGAATTGATTGTGTCAGTTTAGCTCTTCTTTTGCTTGCATAGTTGAAAAGATTTGTGGGCTGGGGTAGGTGGGGGTGGGTGGGTAAGAAATGGGATCACATCGATTTTCTCCTAAAGCCAAATCTTCCAGATCCCTTCTGGGCTTTCAAATATGAGAAGATTGGGTCATTTCCAAAGAGCCGAATTTATATATAGCTTGTTAACGTAATAAATAACGGTTGTGCTCTCCAACAATAAGTGTTGAGGACTATCCCATAAAATGGTTGTGGTCAAATTTGGCACTCCACCTACAATACAAGATAAAGCCGGAGGAATCCAGCCAAAATGTTTTCAGAATGTCTTTTGGGCTCATGGCCCAAAAATTCTATCTCTTTTTTTGCATGGAAGTGCGGATACCAAATACTAGCATGAGAGAGCATTAGACAGTGAAAATTAAACCTTAGCCTAAAGAAATCAGTGACATGGGGTTCAGCAGGGGTTTTTCTCGTGTTCCATGTGATTGCCTTGTAAAGCCCTTGACTGGTCTCTGTGTTGTTAACTCAAGGGGGGGGGGGGTGAACTCCCAGAGTTAATATGGACAGGATAGGATGTAGGATATAGGATAGGATAGAATAGAATGTAGGATAGGATGTAGGATAAGATATAGGATAGGATAGGATGTAGGATGGGATGTAGGATAGGATGTAGGATAGGATAGGATGTAGGATAGGATAGGATAGGATGTAGGATAGGATAGGATGTAGGATAGGATAAGATGTAGGACAGGATAGGATAGAATGTAGGATGCAGGATAGGATAGGATGTAGGATAGGATAGGATGTAGGATGTAGGATAGGATGTAGGATAAGATAGAATGTAGGATAGGATAGGGTATAGGATAAGATAGGATATAGGATAAGATAGATAGGATATAGGATGGGAGGTAGGATAGGATACAATGTAGGATAGGATGTAGGATGTAGGATAAGATGTAGGATAGGATAGGATGTAGGATGGGATAGGATGGGATGTAGGATAGGATAGGGTAGGATAGAATGTGGAATAGAATGTAGGACAGGATAGAATGTAGAATAGTAATAGTAATAGTAATAGTATAGTATAGTATAAAATAGGAATTAGAATTAGAACAGAATGGAATGCTTTGTAACATTGCATAGAGTCTCAGAACCTTAGCCCAACTCATCTGTTGCATTGTGCTCTCTTTTTGGAGGGATGAGGGTGCTTAATGTGTGTGAACTCCTGAAAACGATTGTTAGGATGCCATGAGATCCTTTGCAATGTTTTAACACAGCTTTGTTTTTTTAAAAAAAAATATTTGCAAGAAGAATCAGAACATTTGCATTCATTAACTATGTAGAGTTGTCCAAGAACTCACCTTAGAAGAACTAAACTGCAGTGCAACGTAATTCCAGAGCTGTCGGCTGATTTAAGTTGGCTCTCCAAACTGCACACAGTTCTCTCAACGCGATGGCTAACCTTGGTAGACACATTGTGAATGTGGTTCTGTGAAACTGAAGACTGGTGTTTGAACTTGCAAGATTCCTAAATGTATTTTTCAGGCCCAAACATGTGGTGTCTCCCACTTGTAGCTTGGGAGATGTTCCCTGTGGGTGTGCCATACAAAGGCAATTAAATGCTTACTCATTTTACCACCTGACAGGTGGTGAAGGGCTGACATGGTTGCTGAACCCACACAGCATAATGCGCATATATATATATATATATATGTGTGTGTGTGTGTGTGTGTGTGTGTATATAGATATAGATATAGATATAGATATAGATATAGATTTTGACACAGCCTTGTCAGTTAAAGCAGAAGTCACTGAGGAATGTTGGCAAATCCTATCAAATGGGCTTGTTGACTAAGAGAACTGCTTTGATGCTTGCATCTGATAAGCCAGGCTTTCAGCTTCTCTCCGGGTTGAGGTCATGTCTCTGTTCAGTAGGGCAACCTGAGAACTCATTCTCGTGTTGGCACACAATTTCAAGTTTGAACTTCCAACAGAAGAAGGATGCTCTGCAGTGGCGGGATTCAATTTTTTTTACTACCGGTTCTGTGGGTGTGG